AACTTATGCAAATTTTATGCAAATAAGTAAACTATTGATGCTGTAACTGATGCTGATCTATTAAACCATGTATTGAGATATGGGGGCGGATGGCATGGGTTGGGGGGATGCGGTGGGAGGTGGTATATTTTCTGGTAGGTTTGAACCCACCCCTTCTGAAAAATTGTCATTTTCAGTCTATTTTTCGATTTTAATACGACCTTGAGAGGTGAACATTGACTAAACTGTGTTTCTTTGTCATTCAAATTTTACCGTACAGTTACAGCAATCAATCCATACTGACTGGAAGTAAATGTGACTTGAGAATTTTGCTGGGGAATTATTATTGGCTAGCCAAGTATGCCTAAATGTCCGTTTTTACCGATTTCTGACAAAACGGTGACCTAGATTTTACACACCACATTTCTTTTGGCCATATTATACCTCCTTGTGTTTCTGTACCATCTATGCATTTATTTATGATAATAGTTGATGCGTACAGCACATACCAGTAACGTAGTGGCCATAAAAAGACTCCCAACCCCACCTGATTTTGGCTACTTTTCACGTTTTTCCGATTTTGAACTCTAAAAAGGCCATTAAAGTTGCCATATGTTCAAAATCACACATCTGAGAAGAGTTTATGGACCATGAATTGCATGGTTGAAGTCCCTGCTGTAAAGAAAGTTGAGCTGGGGCAGTTCTAAAAAAGTATGGAGGGTCATTCAGGCCATCAAAGAATATTGGTCGCCATCACGACTACAGGCGGGATTAGGAGCGAAGGGGTTAAACGTATTTTATCAAAATCGTCAAATTTGTCTTCTGTTGGGTTATAGGGGCGTTGTGGGGTTTGAAACTGACCAAAACACTCTTTTAAGGTTGAAAATCAGAAAACAAATATTTTTAGTTTAACTCATTCGACCCCAAGAGATTTCTGGGAAATCAGGCATTTTCGAAAATTTGAAAACTAATGCAAATTATATGCAAATTAGTAGACTCTTGATGCTTTAACTAATGCTGATCTTTTAAACTATGTATTGAGATTTGGGGGCGGATGGCATGGGTGGGAGGTGGTATATTTCTGGTTGGTTTGCACCCACCCCTACTGAAAAATGGTCATTTTCAGTCTATTTTTCGATTTTAATACGGCCTTGAGAGGTCAACATTGACTAAACTGTGTTTCTAAAAAAGTATGTAGGGTCATACAGGCCATCAAAGAATGATGGTCGCCATCACGACTACAGGCGGGATTGGGGGTGAAGGGGTTAGACGTATTTTATCAAAATCGTCAAATTTGTCTTTTGTTGGGTTTTAGGGGCGTTTTGGGGTTTAAAACTGACCTAAACACTCTTTTAAAGTTGAAAATTGGAACAAAAAATATTTTTAGTTTAACTCATACGACCGCAAGAGATTTCTGGAAAATCAGGCATTTTCGAAAATTTGCAAACTTAAGCAAATTTTATGCAAATTAGTAAACTCTTGATGCTGTAACTGATGCTGATCTATTAAACCATGTATTGAGATTTGGGGGCGGATGGCATGGGTGGGGGGGATGCGGTGGGAGGTGGTATATTTTTCTGGTAGGTTTGAACCCACCCCTACTGAAAAATTGTCATTTTCAGTCTATTTTTCGATTTTAATACGACCTTGAGAGGTGAACATTGACTAAACTGTGTTTCTTTGTCATTCAAATTTTACCGTACAGTTACAGCAATCAATCCATACTGACTGGAAGTAAATGTGACTTGAGAATTTTGCTGGGGAATAATTATTGGCTAGCCAAGTATGCCTAAATGTCCGTTTTTACCGATTTCTGACAAAACGGTGACCTATATTTTACAGACCACATTTCTTTTAGCCATATCATACCTCCTTGTGTTCCTGTACCATCTATGCATGTATTTATGATAATCGTTGATACATACAGCCAATACCAGTAATGTAGTGGCCATAAAATGACTCCCACCTCCACCTGATTTTGGCTACTTTTCACGTTTTTCCGATTTTGAACTCTTAAAAGGCCATTAAAGTTGCCATATTTTCAAAAAAACACATCTGAGAAGAGTTTATGGACCATGAATTGCTTGGTTGAAGTCCCTGCTGTAAAGAAAGTTGAGCTTGGGCAGTTCTAAAAAAGTATGGAGGGTCATACAGGCCATCAAAGAATGGTGGTCGCCATCACGACTACAGGCGGGTTTAGGGGGCGAAGGGGTTAAGAGCTTCCTTGTGAGCAGCAACCCTCTATCAAGTAAATCATGATAGGAAATACAAGCCCGGGAATATCGTATCAATTGGGAGATATATACTCCGTATGCAGGCGCTGCTAGAATGATGCTACATAGAAATGGAAAGTTCACAATTGGGAAGCTGAAATCATCTCTTTTGTCGTAAAGTTTTGTTTTCAACCGACCCTCATTGTCAATTTCTAGATGTAAGTCAAGATATGAGGCAGACTTAACTGTATCTGTTGTATTCTCTATCTCTAGTTCGATGGAATGGATGCGTTGAACATAGTCACCAAGTTTTGAATTATTTAATGAGAGAACATCATCTATATAGCGGAAAGTTAAGTTAAAGGATATTGCTAACTTCTTATCTTTCTTCCTATTTAGTTCCTGTATGAAATCAGCCTAATAATAATAAAGGAACAAGTCGGCAAGAAGAAGGGCACAATTGGTTCCTATTGACATGCCGACAGTCTGTTGAAAAACACGTCCTCCACACGTAATAAATATGTTCTCAATCAAGAAATCATGCATCTTGATAAAGTCAGTTTCAGAGAATATTTTGTTTGAATCAGAGTGATTCTTTACAAAGAAGGATTTATCCCTCCCTAAGGCAAGATACTTGTATCTACGTTGGTCATTCTTTTTTATGAAACAAAGCAATACCAACTCTTTCAATTTGTCTTTTAGTTTGGAATGGGGAATACTTGTGTAAAGTGTAGAAAAGTCACGCCACCTCTAGAATATGCAGTTTCGAAATAACTTTGAAACCCGGCTTTGATTGCTGATAAATAAGATGTTAATAATTTAGAAAGAGGTTTCGTAGAGCACTTGGAAGACCCAGCAATATACCGTTGTTTGTAAGGACACGTATATAGTTTAGGTATTCAATACAGTGATGGAAGATCCAGTTCTTCATCTTTGGTTGAAATTCCAAAAGAACATAGAACAGACCTATGATTATTCAGGATTTCCTCTTTGGTAAGTGTCGTTAGGGTATATGTTGAGTAACCAAGTGAATTGTCAACACCTAATTCATTTATCAAGCAGTTCATGTAAAGGAATTTACACATAAAAACTATGTTGTTTGGGGCTTTATCTGCGGGGACAACAACATTTTTGTCATGGAGGTAGAAGAAGTGTTTTGCAACATTTTCGTCTTTAAAGATTAACGTAGCATGGGTATTGATAGACCCATCCAGTTTCTTAATTCTGATTTGTATCAACGACCTCACAGCCTTAATCCATTCGGAAAGAGTATCTAGGTCTTCTTTCTCGCGTTTAGCCCATTGCCTGGCATAATCCTTTACTGAATCCATCAGTATTGTGAAGTTGTATTTCCAATTGATGGATTTAGGCTCACGATATTTCGGACCTTTGGATAACACATTTCGCAGAGGGGAAGTGTATTGACAATGTTGAGGTCACCGGTAATAACGTGGCCAGTCGGATTATATGTGAATTGGGAACTAGCACTGGTGCAATAATGAGGTTTAGACTTGAAGTCGTCAATATTGAGATCCTGTAAAACGTGTTTGTAATTAATTTTTTTAGTTGCAATTGGTTTGGTAAAGATATAAGAAATGATTGGTACAGACTTTTCTTTAAAATAAGGAGGTATTTTCGATTGAAATAATTTATGATGAAGGATATTGCCCGAGTTGACGCCATCGAGACCTTTGTTGGCAAAGAAAAGTTTAAGAAAATATCTGTGTCACAGTGTAATTTATATAACAAATATCAAGTCAATATCTTTAAGCATGACGAAATAAAGTGTTGAAAACTGATTATTTATAATAAATGAATTTTTTAAGTCCAAGGACGACTATAACTTTGGCTAAAAACATCTGACCGGAACAAAATCCTAACTTGGTCTGTAACTTGTCATGATAAAAGTATATACCAATTTTCAAATCAACATCTTCAATCATGACCAAAAAAAAATGCAGGAAACTGATTATTTGAGTGAATTTTCCAAGTCCAAGGATCATAACTCTGCACAAAAATCATCAGACCAGAACAAAATTCAAACTTGATCTGTATATTGTCATGATAAAACAATACACCAAATATCAAATCAAAATCCTTAAGCATTACGAAAAAAAGTGCGGAAAACTGATTATCTGATTTAATTTCCAAGGACCATAACTCTGTTCAAAATCATCAGTCCGGAACAAAATTCGAACTTGATCTGTAACTTGTCATGATAAAAACAATTTAATAAATATCAAATCAATATCTTCAAGTATGAAGAAAAAAAGTGTGGAAAACTGATTTGCCGGACTGATTGACGGACAGACAGACAGACAGACGGATGGAGTGCAATCTAAATTCCCCTTTGACTTAGTCGGTAGGCTTTGACTTATTCGGTAGGGGACTAATAATTTAACTAATAAGGCAAACAAAAATTTAACTTAGTTTTTTTCTCTCAAGTCTTTAAGATGTTTGTTGGATTTTGAAGATTCTTTTTTTTTTTACATTTCAGTGTACTTCACTAAAAAAAATTTCCTTGCAACAGGCCATCATTCTGAACAAAGAGCGATACAACCTATGATTGCATTGAATCTCAGAGGTTTTAGACTAATGGAAATTCAAATAAGTTCAATTAGATATTGAAAAACAAACATGAACTCTTACAAAGGCAAGCAAGGCTTCAGAATATGGGTGGAAGTAACTATGGAGAAAATGCCTAAATTATTTACTTTAAATTTACACTTAAATATATCATTGAAGTACTAACGATACATGTCAATATAATACTGCAATGATTATACTATCAACTGATCACTGACTTACAAGTAAAAGTGCTCCCACATAAATATGTTCTGTATTCTTTGAATTGAAACTATCCTGGCATTTGGCAGTGTTGATTCAAATTTTGTCTGAATATTTTCCCATTCATATTTTTGACTGCTATCTTCACCAGGCTTAATTGCAATTTTCAGGAAATTTTCATTACCCATATCGAACCAGTGTGAAGGGGGTAGAATGCCACTTGTCTTGACCACTTGAGCAGAGTTTCTGAAAAGGAAAAAAAAAGCCATAAATAAATATGAACATCATGCAGTTGTATTATCAAATTATCAATATACTAAATGTGTCTTCAAACATTCATTTCATTTTTTTATTTTTTTAGGCAATAATTTGAGGTTAATATATTGTTTATATTCCTTTATTTACCATTGCTGGTAGACTGTTAGTCCCCAAAGGTATAATCAGCTCATTTGTCATTGCACCGGTACGTACATGATTTATAACATACTTGCTAAAAATCCTTGTGAATTCTAATCTCACAAATGAATGACGTGACCGGTTTGTTCTTTTCCGAATTGACTATAATTGCCAGTTTTCCTGCCGAAAAAAATTTGGTGGTTCTCTCTAGCTTCCTCCACACACAAAGACGAAACACTACGATGTAGCAAAGAGTGCTAAAGCGGCATTAAAGTTAAACACCTCAAAGCAATCAATCAACCTCAAGTCCTTCATCAATAAATAAAGAAAATGTTAAGAAAATTAGGTTCCTAAATTCCAGCAGGCAGAGTTTATCTTAGATGTATTTTGCTATTTTTAGGTGCCTTTTTGGAAATATAGGTCCTCACGTTTCTACATGGTTAAACATCCTTGGCTTTAAAAGTTTTGGCCTTAAACGGTCCTAATGAAGGGTAATCCAGTATAGAGCTTAGGCCGCACGAAATTTATGAATTGTGATTTTCTTTCCCTTTATCATAGAAAAGAAGAATTTTGGGAAAATCACAAATTTGTACTTTTCTCTTTTTGTATTAAAAGCAATAATATTGATGAAAAACTCGTGCCTCTATATTAGATAAAAAAAACCCACAAAAATTCCAAAACACCAAAAAAAAACACCCGCCACTTGCAAACTATGCATGCGTGCATGGTACAGATTATACCAAAAATAATATTGCTGGGCAGGAGTGTCACAGACCCTTGTCAAACCAAGTGGGGGTGACTATGCCAATTTTCACTAGTTTCATTACGAAAACTAAATTTCTGGTGAATTCAATCTATATCTAGCTGGAAGTGTTTTTAATGCTCAATGGAATCGTTGCGCCCAAATTGAAATAAAACTAGCACGAATCGCTTACATTGTTTATGTACATCTTCAACAATGAACACTCACAACACATTGTAAGCTAATATATATATATGACAAAAATCTTTTGTGTTGACCTTGTATTGCTGATATTTTTTCTGTTTACAGTTTCTCTCTATTTACTAAAGTTTTTTTTTACCAACACACAGAAATGGGTACAAATCATCATTCAAGGGCAATAACTACTGTAAAATTGTACTGCCAATTTTCACTAGTTTTCATTTAGAAAACCAAAATTCTGGTGAATTCAATCTATATCTAACTGTCATGTGTTTTGAATGCTCACTGGAGTCGTTACGCCCAAATTGAAATAAAACTAGCACGAGTCGCTTACAAAGATGTATGTGCATCTCCAAGAATGGTCACACACAAACACATTGTAGGCTATATATTTTTGACTTAAATCATTTGTGTTGACCTTGTACTGCTGATAATTTTTCTGCTTTTAGTTTCTCTCTATTTTCTAATGTTTTCGGACAAAAACACACAAATGGGTAAAAATCATCATTCATGGGCAATAACTACTGTAACAATGCACTGCCAATTCGGCCTTGATGACATATCTGTGATATTAGTTAAGTCAATGAACTATATGTAACTCCATAGTCTGGGAAAACACCAGAATGCATATGGTTACTATCAAGTTGATGTTGTTATCAGATGCTAAAGTTACTATTTAGGTTTTCTTAAATTAGAATAAAACTTATAAACAATATTATGTATATATATATATATATATATATATATATATATATATATCAAGGTGATAGGTATTGCCAATATAACAATATATATTATTCACGTCTTACATGTCATTGTCGAGCCTGCGACTTTTGTCGCAAAAGCGAGACATAACGATCCTACATTCCGTCGTCGTCCTCGTCGGCGTCGACGGCGTCCATAATATTCACTCTGTGGTTAAAGTTTTTGAAATTTTAATAACTTTCTTAAACTATCCTGGATTTCTACTAAACTTGGACAGAAGCTTGTTTATGATCATAAGGTAGTATCCAGAAGTAAATTTTGTAAAAAAAAATCCTGTTTATCCGTATTTTACTTATAGATGGACTTAGTTTTTCTGCCAGTTAACATTACATTCACTCTGTGGTTGAAGTTTTTGAAATTTTGATCACTTTTTGAAACTATCCTGGATTTCTACCAAACTTGGACAAAAGCTTGTTTATGATCATAAAATAGTATCCAGAAGTAATTTTTGTAAAAAAAAAATCCTGTTTATCCGTATTTTACTTATAAATGGACTTAGTTTTTTCTGACAGTTAACATAACATTCACTCTGTTGTTAAAAATATTTTAATAACTTTCCTAAACTATCCTGGGTTTGTACCAAACTTGGACAAAAGCTTGTTTATGATCATAAAATAGTATCCAGAAGTAATTGTTTGTAAAAAAAAAATCCTGTTTATCCGTATTTTACTTATAAATGGACTTAGTTTTTCTGACAGTTAACATTACATTCACTCTGTTGTTAAAAATTTTAATAACTTTCCTAAACTATCCTGGGTTGGTACCAAACTTGGACAGAAGCTTGTTTATGATGACTACTTATAAATGGACTCCATCTTCCAGTTAACATTACATACAGTCTGCAGTTAAAGTTTTTAAAACATTTATTAGACTCATAAAACATCCTGGATTTTTACCAAACTTATTTAAAAATTATCTTCTTTATCATTTGTTCATTCAATAAATTTATGTTTCAACTCTTTTATATATCTATAGATTTGATTGCATACTGTATTCATTTTTTACAGTGGTTATCAAGATAATAGGGAAAAAATGAATTTAAAATTTAACCCATATGCTCTATTTTTAGCGATATCCCATAAACCTAAAATAATCAATGTTGAATGAAAATGAGGTCACGGTCAGATGAACAATGCCAGACTGACATGTACACCTTACAATCTTTCCATACGCAAAATATAGTGGTTCCATCGGTAAAAGTACCCGAGAAACAGACCAAACCACAAAATCTTAACACCATGAAAATGAAGTCATTGCCATATTAACCCTGCAAGACAAACATGCAAACCTTACAATCTTTCCATACACCTATTACATATATAGATGATCTGTTGCTCATAGGATCTGATAAACTGACAAAATTAAGAAAACCTCATTGACCAATGAATCATGAAAATGAGGTCAAGGTCATATGAACCCTGCAAGACAGAACTGTTCACCTTACAATATTAAAGTTCCATACATCAAATATAATTAACCTATAATTGCTTATACTATCTGAGAAATAGATCGAATCACTATAAAATGCTCCGCTGAACACAGCTTGATACGACCGCAGAGGTCGAACCCTGAACAGTTGGGGCAAGTATGGAGACAACATTTAAGAATAAAACAGCTCTGTTTTTGGGTTGTGATTGACAATTTGACATAGCATAGGTTTGTGACACAAAATGGATGTGGTCAAAAAAGTGAAAAATTTGAAATTGGACAATTGACCGATTATGATCCAATATCAAAAATCTAAATACATGGTTAGAATCAGCATATCAAAGAACCTTAAAAATTCAAATTTTGATGAAATCAAACAAAAGCTTATTTTAGGACCCTTTGGACCTCATTGTGGACCAATTTGATAACCGAGCCCAAAATTCAAAATCTAAATACATGTATAGATTCAGGTTCAAGTTAAATTTTGGACCCCGATTTGGACCAATTGAAAACTGGGCCAAAAATCAAACATCTAAATACATGTTTATTGATAGAAAATATCAGCTAAGTTTTCGCTTCATAATAAAAATATATTTATTTATAGCATTTAGAAAATTAGTTTATACAGAATAACAAACAAACCTACCACAAAATTCTTCAAACAATTTAACAAAAATAAATCGGGAATGTATCCATGGGAAACAGATGATGCTCCCGCTTGCATTTAACGTTATAAAGGGACATAAATAAAGAACCGTAGAAATGACGCTTCCCAAATTTGTACTTGATCAGAGTTTTGTAGTAATAAGCATTGTGTATAAGTTTCATAACATTTGGTTGAGGCAAACTTAAGTAAGAGAACTCAAACGAAAAATTCAGCAATTTTTCCATTTTTAAAGAGCATAACTCTCGAACGGTAAAAGTGACGCCACCAAAATTCAAACATGATCTGTGTTTTGTGGTAATAAGCATTGTGTATAAGTTTCATAACCTTTAGTTGAGGCAAACTAAAGTAAGAGAACAGAAACCAATTTTTTTGACGTACGGACGGACATGGGTACAACTTATTGGCCCCTCTGCTACGGCGAGGACATAAAAAGAAAAAAATAATTTCCAAGATATCATTTATCATTATTACAATGTCTTTAAAAAATCTATAAAACTTATCTGTAATTATCTTCAAAATATCTAATCATGGACGATATTTTCAAACTATATTTATTGTCCTATAGAGCTTATCATCAACAACACTTAGGAAGAACAAAATTTTCAAATAAATCTGTCACTCCAAATAAAATTTGTTATCGATAATTACCACATGTTTAGTTATCTTGATAATAGGGGCGTAAATTATTGCATGAATAAATTAAGTATTAAATACATTGTACTAATCCATATGTACAAATGTGAATATCTAGTTAATTGTAAAAATCTATTATACAAATTGTGTGTAGTTTTATAGGAAGAAAAATTAAATTTTCAATTTCTTTTTGTTTTGTGTAGGAGAATTTCATTAAAAACTTTCTTTCGTTCTTTTTTATATTTAACTTCTATGATTAGGTTATTAAAATGTTTAACATTATTCAAAATATCTAATAATGAACAGTAAAATTCAAACTATATATCTAAAATTATATATGATGCTGTATCTATTTTTAACTATGACACAACTAAAAAATTTCGATTAATTGCGAAATACATTTCTAAATTTAGA